CCCGCCCCCCCCCCCTCCCCCCTCCCCAATTAGTTCCCCCCACACACCAGGCCCTCTGTCTCTGCCCGCAGCCCCCTCCACTCTGCCCGGCGGGGGCAGGGGCCGGTGGCCTCTCACCTTGGCTCTTTGGTTCTGAAACCAGACCTGGACCACACGCACGCTGAGGCCTGTCTCTGCTGCCAGCGTCTCGCGGACCTGCCAGGAGAGGGAGAGAGGGGGGCAGGTCAAGCCTGGGGAGGTGGTGGGCTGGGGGTGGATGGATGAGTGGGGAGATGGAGGGACATCCCCGTCCCCAGCCAGCGTGGACAGGGTGGTGTCTGGAAAGGCAGCGGTGTGGTCACCCCGCCCCACCCCCGCCCCTCACCTTCCGGCAGGGCTTGGAGGAGACCTCGAAGGAGGCCTTGAAGGCTCTTCGCTGCTGCGTGGTGAGGATGGTGCGGGGTCGCTTGGGCCTCCGGGGGTCCTTCCCGTCATCCCCGCTGCCCTTGCTCTGGCCGCCCTGCCCCTTGGCCGGCTTCATGTCCCCATCCTCGTCCTCACTCTTCACTGTGGGGGACACAACCCTGCCTGTCAGCCGCCTGATGGGATCCAAGTGCCTCAGCCTCTGCCTCCCGCCAACACCTGCCATGGCCTCTGGCACCTGGAGACCCCAGGCCAGGGGCCAACCTTGGAGAAAACCAGTTCCGCCAGCCCAGCACCAGCCAGGCCCCAGGGCACACAGAACCTTCTGGAAGCTTCCAGGGACTAAGAATTGACAGGCAAGGACCGCGCTCCAGATGTTCTCACACAGGAGTATTCATGACCATGACAGGCAGACAGACACACACACATGCACACTCATGCACCAGCACTCACACATACAGACTGGCACGTGGGCCCACCACGGCTCGAGCAATGCAGCTCACAGACATCTCCACACACACAGGCGCATGCGCACAGGCAGGACGACCAGGCACGCATGCACACGCATGCAGAGGATGTGTATTCACCCAGAGACACACCCGCAATACCATGTCCAGCTGCCACTCCATGCCCCAGAGTCGTGGGTCTAAGAGATGCCAGCCCTCCCCCAGCACCCTTCGGACTCGTCGGGGCTCACAGAGCTGAGCAGGTCCTTCTCCTTCTCGTAGTCGCCCTTGCACAGCAGCTGGCCCTCCTTGAGCACGAACTCGTCGCCCTTGCGGAGCTGCCGCTCACAGACGCAGCAGCAGAAGCAGCCCAGGTGGTACACGCACTCCAGCGCCCGCATCACGAACTCGGTGGGGGCGATCTTCTCCATGCAGCCGCTGCACTTGGCCGCGAAGAGCCTGTGGGTGCACAGAGGGGGCACGTCAGCTGGGCTCGGGGTCCCTCCCAGAGGCCACTGTCTATGGAGAGCCTCTCCCACCACCCTGACCCTCCAGCCCAAGTGGGAGGAGCCCTCCCTGGGCACAGAGCCACATGGGGAGGGCCCGTGACCTCAGGGTGGGCACTGGGCATCCTGCCCAGAGGTGCCCTCTCCCGTCTGTCAGCTCAGGGCCCTTTCCACTCAGTGACACAGTGGCCACTAGAGGGCAGAGTACAAGGTTAGCCTTAACCTCTCCCAGGTTGGCCCCAGCCTGAGGGGAAGGGCAGGCAACCCACAGATCCATCCACCCTCACCCCAGGATCTGCTCTGCCTCCTCCCTGCCCCTCCACCACCCTCACATCCAAGCAGTTCCCACCCTGGCCAACCTACCCCCAGCATGGGCCCCTCCTCTCCTTTCTGAGCGACTGTTCCAGTCCCCTCTCTGGGCTCCTGGCCCCTCCAACCCTTTACCTTCCAGGATGAGAGCCAGAAAGATCTGCCTAAAACACTCACCCGGCCATGCTGCTTCCCTGCTCTAGACTCTTCCATGGCTCCCTAGTGCCCTTGGGAGAACATCAGGTTCCTGAGTCTGGCACTCATGGCCCTTCACGATCCTGCCTCTTCTCCCCCCACCCCTGCTCCCCCAGGCTGTGCCTCTCCAGAGCACCCCAACACTGCCCTTCTTTCTTTCTCTGGCCCTGGGCTTGGCTAACACCCACTTATCCCTCTGTTCAGCTTAAGCATTGCTACCACGAAGTGATGTATTCACTGAGCACGCACAGCAGGCCAGCTGCTGCTCTAAGCACTTTGCCTGCAGAAACACATTTGATCCTCGCAGCACCCCTCTGAGACAGGGCGGAATACTGATCCCATTTTAGAGATTAGGAAATTGAGGTGCTCAGCGCTGGAGTCACTTGCTCAGAGTCACATGATGGTAAACGATGGAGCCGACTCTGAGCCTGGATCTATTCGGGTCCCCCCAGGACAACGCAGATCCCTCTCCCCTCCCGGGATGCAAAGCCCAGTGGGGGCTCTGGCCCCGGCCCCGCGTGTGCAGAAGGGTCTGAGCAGCATGGCCCCTCCTCTGCCCGCACCTACTGACCGCTCCTCTGGCCGCCCATCCCGATCACGTGCTCTGCTCTGTGGGAACTCAGCCCCAACAACATTTTGATGGAAAAATTTATGAAGAATCAAATTATTGCTGCTGGGAGGGAATTAAAACCATTTTTCATTCCCCGTGTCCCCGGGCCACGTCTGTGGGCGCCACCTTGGGAGCGCTGTGCCATCCCATCCCTCTTTATGGCTCGCCATCGCAGGCGCAGATTACAGCTGCAATTCTCTACTAATCGGTTCTGGAACAGCCATAAACGCGAGGCCTGGCCTGCCTCCCTCCCCGGGGCTGCCGTAGCGCCGCCCACAGCGAGCTGCTGAGATGCAGGGGACAGGGCCAGACCCCATCTGCCTGCTGCCCCCGGCACCGGCCCGGGCACTCAAATTGGGGGCATCCCCAGCAACCCTGCCACCCCCTCCATCCTACCCTGCAGGCTCCTATTCATCCTGCGATGCCCAACTCCAATGCCACTTCCTCTGGGAAGCCTTCTTTGCTGGCCCGGTCTTGGGAAGGTGGCCTCAATGCTCACCTGAGCTTCTCTGGCCTCAGTCCCCTCTCCCATAAAACAGGGAGTCACAGAGCATCCCTCAAAGGGCTGTTGTCAGAATCCAGTGACACTGGACATGTAACTTGGCGAACGAGGGTCACATGGGAGGGACCGCACTGCCCGTCAGCTCTGTGCGGGTTCCTCGGGCAGGACCTCACTCCACCGGGACCTCAGGGAGGCCCTGAGGGTTTGTGACGCAGGTGAGTGAAGGTGTGGGGTGGGCTGAGGATCCAGGAAGACGGGCCCCCAGCCCACACGGTGGGGGACTCTGCAGGAAGAACCTGGCCTGGTTGTGGGCTCTAATTTGGCCGTTTGGCTGGTGAGCTTTGTTCAGGGTACAACCTACCCAGCTGTCCATGGCAGCCTCAGGCAGAGGCCCCGCCCAGCTCTGCTGAGGGGCTGGCGAGGGAGCGAAGGAGCCAGGTTTGCAGAACTCGCTGCTCTGACACGTAGGACACGTCTGTCCTGCCCCCTCACTGTCCCTCTGTCCGGTCCCCACAGTCGACCTGGCGTCCCAGGGGCCCCAGTAAGGTCTGCAGCCGCCTCTGTGGCCCACGAGTGGACAGGCAGCGGCCACCTCCGTGCCAGCATGGCAGGGCCAGGGCTCAGGCGGCGGTCAGCACCTCGGGGCTCCCCAGGAGGCCAGCTTGGGCGGGGAGAGGGGCTGCGGGGCGGTGACCCGCATTTGCAGGCTCTGCCACCGGGCACTGCCACCGTGCAGGCGCATTCAGAACAGCCCTGCTAATGCCTTGGCAGCAGGGGGTCGATTGCTACTTTCTCCAAACTCATCAACACAATCTATTATTAATACTTCTCCAAAGGCTCAGTGCCGCCATTACTGCGGCAGCGCCAGCCACTCGGGGCATCATCTGTTATCTAGATTGCAAAAACTCGGGAAATAAAACAACCGGCGCGCACTTTATAAACCGAATGTGCCATCCGTTCGGTCTCTGAGCATCTCTCCTCCCAATAAAACATCAGGGGGGACACATGAAATACTCGCTCCCAATTACGGGGTGCCTTTGTCTATCGTGCAGGGGTGAGAGCTGCGTGGGAGGGGCTGGGGCACCAGCGGGGTCCCCTCCTCTGCGTGAGCCCCCACTCCTTCCCTCAGTCCCTCCCACTGTGGAGGGGTTGGTGGCAGCAGCGTGGAGAGGCAGACCCAGCCACAGGAGGGGTGGCACTGGCATCAGACGGACTCGGGCTCCATGCCTGTTTCCACCACTGCTGGCTAGTGACCGGGCAAGTGATGTTCTCGCTCTGAGCCTCAGTTTACTTACCTATATAATGGGCTCGACAACGCTGCCTGCTTCTCCGTGTGAAGATGCAGTAAGTTGTCAGCACACAGCGGTGAGCGCAGACGAAGTGGTCAGGGGCTGTGCAGGCTGTGTGAGGCCAGAGCCTCTCTAGGGATGTGTCAGATGCGGACCAGAGGGGCAGAGTGAGTCAGCATGGAGGGCCTCGGGCCGCTCTACCTCCGCCCCCAGGGGCTCTGGGGCCTGGCGTGAAAGGCCCTGACCTTAATCCCGACTCAACCACTCCCTGGTTCTGTGACTGTGACCTTGGGCAAGTCAGTCTCTGTTTCCTCATCTGTAAGATGGGGACAATAGTCCCTGCTCCTCAAAATTGTGCTGGGGATTCCAGATGGGCGTGTCCCTGCTGCCCACACTGGGGCTGGGAGGGAGGGATGTGGGGGATGGGGGCTGGGGTCAGGGCATGCTGGGCATTGGGAGGCTCAGAAGCTCTGGCCCAGGAGGAGCTGCCTGGCTTCCCCTGCCTGCTGCCGGCCCTCTCAGTGACCCTCATCCTGCTTTCCCCCTTGTGCCCCCTTCCAGACACCGAACCTAGAGGGCAGCTTTGTGACCACATCACAGGCACACGGCCTTGCTGGTCACCCACACCGCCCTCCTCCCCATTTTCCTGTAAACGGCCCCGCCTTTCCTCCCGCTTCCCTACTGCTGGGTCACCATGCCCTCTGCTCCCGTCTGCCCCCACACACCTGCTGACCTGGAAGGACTGGCCTGGGTGTCTCCTCTCCAGTCTTAGCGGATGCGTCCCTCTGAGTTCCCTATCCTCATACCACCCCCCCCCCCAATTGTAGCACAGATACTAGGGGCTCTGAATATGTCCAGGTCCACCTGCCCCCGGGTCACCTCTGAGCACCAGGCCCTGAATACAAAAAGGTGAGCCATGAATGTTTGCTGAACCAACCAAGACAGTCCTGTTCAGTCGGTGCAGCAGGGAGAGGCAGTCCCCACCCCCAGCCTGGTCTGGTGGGGGCCCCTGGGGCAGCAGAGCCACCTGGGAGGGGCTCTGGGAGGAGTGGGGCTGGAGCAGGCAGCCTGGGGTTCCATCCTGGCTCCATAACTTTGGTCAAGACATTGAACATCTCTGAGCCTCAACTTCTTCATCTGTGAAATGGGAATGATGGCATCTACCTATGGCGTTGCTGGGAGGGCCGGCACAGAACCAAGGATACGCTCCAAGAGCTGGTGTCTGCCTTCTCTTGTCCCACCTGGGCCCAACATGCCTTTGTCTAGCCCCCTCTGAGATTCCGGAGAGAAGCATCCCTGACACCTGTCCCAACCCCACCTCCCTCCCTCTCGTGACCACCTGGGTTCTAGATCGGGCCTTCTCGCTTCTGTGTGGCTTGAGCTGGATTCTCTGTCTGTCTCATTAACATGTCTGAGCACTGCTAAAGCTCAGTTATCTCCTGCATCACCGCAGTAAACCCAGCGCCCTCAAAGGAAGACTGCTTCCCTCCCATTTTACAGATGAGCACATCAAGGTGCAGAGGGCAGGTGACTCGTTCAAGGTCACATGGCAGCATCACTGTATACCCCCTCCCTGCTCCGTGCATCCACGTGTTTCTCTGCTTGTCACCACCTTGCCCTGTGATCTGAGTATCACACCCCTGTCTGTCTGCCCTCAAGGCTCTGAATGTCGTGGGACAGGGGCCTGATTCACCCCGAGTTCTCATTACTCAGCACAAGCCCGGTGCCCAGTAGATGCGGCTGAGCGGACTTTTCTTAGGCCAAACTGAACATGTTCCCCGCACAAGCAGCGCCCCCTCCCCCAGGATCATCTGCGATTGTGGAGCAAAAATTCCCTTTCCGGAGATGCCACTTGCCTTAAAGAGTCCCAGGCTATAACCTATCTCTCGCTCCTCTGAGTTTTTGTTGGTTTATTTATTTAATGCTCAATTTATTAAAGTCCTCGAGCTAATAAGCAAAACTCCAAAACCAATGTTTTCTGGAGCATCTGCACATGGATTACAAACCTGATCCCCTAATTTCTCTTCAGCCACTGACGACTGCAGAGATGCGCACAGGACGACTGGTTCTTTCACCTGATAAAACTGGGTTCCTAACGTCCTGGGGGGACTCCCACCTCTCCTCAGGGGTCTGCACACCCGCATCTTGGAGTCCATACAGCATGTATCAGGCCTGGAAACCTGGCTCTGTCACTCCTGGCGCTGAACCTCACACAAGCTCCTTCTCTCGGAGCCTCAGTGTCTCCATCTGCCCAATGGGGATAATGGCTGGGCACATGCGATAGGCTAAACAAGTGGGGCTCATGGTCCCTGACGTCATCTCTCCAGGACCTCCAGCACCCCGCTCACCATCCTTGCTCTACCTCCTCCTCACTGCACTGCCCTTCCCATCCCCTGTCACCGAATTGCACAGTTTATGTAGCCCCTTGCTGGGGACTCAGTCTAAGAGCATGCAACCATTTCCGGATAAGTCCCAACACCCACTTATGGCACTCACGGCCCCACTCCACCTGTCGCCCCGGCCCCCGATCCTCTGCTACGGCTGCCATGCTCCTCCTTGCTCCTTGAGCACCGCAGGTTCCTGCCTGCC